TTTGAGCCCAGGGCAGGACTATATAAGCCCTGCCAGAAACACCGGCTCTAGGGATGCAGCAATAGGCTGGGGGTTGGACTAAAGACCTTGCATCATTAAGTTACTCTCCTTTACCATCTGTCTTGTTACAGGAATTGGGTGGGGTGGGAGTTGTGTTGTTTTTGAATAGCCCTATGCTTTATCCATCTTAGCCCTGTAGTGGCCTGGAATTCTATTGCCCCCCTAAGGCCGAGAATGGGTGGGGGTGGCTATTGGAGTTGCGCAGGGGGATGGAAGGTATGGTTGCAACAGAGGGAACATATGTTACAAAAGAAGACGGAGTCGCTGTCTGAAAGCTATCCCACTTTCATTTCCCTCTGTTTCCCAGAATGGTTTGGAGAGCAGAGCAACCATTCCACAGAACCTCACTCTGCTCCTCTGCAATGCCAGGTTGGTTAAAACAAGACTCATATCATCCAGGATGTCCTCCTGTTTGAGGATGCCAACCTGGCTTGTCTTACGTCGACCTGGCTGGGGGAGGACAGCGCAGTCACCTGGGCGCAGGCCCTCCCAGCCGGGTACTCTGTTAGTGAGCAGGTGAGGGGAAGTGGGGGGGGCAGAGTCACTCTGGTTCATAAGAACAGCTTGTCCTTGACCAGGATACCTGTCTGGAACATGATCCACTTCAAGTGTATGTACCTTAGCCTGAGGACCAGGGATAGTTTGGGGATTTTGCTAGTCTACCGGCCACCCCATTGTCTAGCAGACTCCCTGACTGAGCTGACACAGCTGGTCTCTGAGCTGTTGGAGACCCCCCCCCCCCAGACTTCTAGTTCTGCGGGACTTCAACATTCTGCTCGAGACCAGTCCAACAGGTGTGGCTCAGGAGTTCATGGAGACCATGACAAACATTGGCCTATCCCAATTAGTCAACGGGCCCACACATTGTGCAGGTCATACACTCGATGCAGTCTTCAGTACGGAACAGGAATATCCGTGGGTGGAGGTTGTAAGCACCTCCGCATTGTCATGGACGGATCATTTCCTGGTCAAGATGGAACTGAGAGCCGATATCTGCCCTGCTGGGGGTGGTGGACCCATTCGTATGGTCCGCCCTCGAAGGCTAATGGAGCCAATTGGATTCCAAAGAGCCTTAGAGGGTTTAATGTTTGGGAATGCCGGTGATCCTGTCAAAGCTCTGTTTAATACCTTGAACACCAACCTTACCAGGGCTATCAACACGATTGCTCCCAAGTGTCCTTGCCAACCTGCTTCAAATCGTAGGCCTTGGTATATGCCTGAGCTTAGGAGGACAAAGCAGGTTGGACAACAGCTAGAGCACAGGTGGCGGAAGACTCGACTCTTGTCTGACAGAACTCACCATAGGAACTTTCTTCATTCCTTCATTCAGGAGGCAATGAGTGCAGCAAAGAGAGTTTTCTCCTCTGCACGTATTGCATCTGCAGAGTCCTGCCCAGCAGAGCTGTTTAAGGTGGTGAGGGAGATGACACAGGTGCCCCCTGTGCCAAATCCCTTACTTAACCCAACAACAGCCTGCTGTGACGCGTTTAACAACTTCTTTGCAGATAAAATCTTTCAGATAAGAGCTGCCTTAGATGCTACTGTTGAAACAGAGTCTATGGGCGAGGCATCCAGCGACTCCACTGATGAAGTTATACTGGATCAGCTCCAATCTGTGAGTACCGAGGACGTGGACAAGCTGCTTGGTAAGGTGAGGAAGACGACCTGCCCTCTTGACCCTTGCCCATCATGGCTGGCCGTCCGGGGGAGGATGCATTGAGGAGATTCCTCATGGATATCATCGGTGCATCCTTCAGGAAGGACATGTTCATCTTGTTTGAAGGAAGCAGCTATTAAGCCACTTCTGAAAAAACCTTCCCTGGACCCCCTGGATATGAATAATTACAGGCCTGTGTCATTGCTGCCATTCTTGAGTAAGGTGATTGAGAGGGAGCTTGCTCTTCAGCTCCAAGCTGTCTTGGATGCTTGGATTATCTAGACCCATTTCAAACCGGCTTCCGGACAGGCTTTGGGGTTGAGACTGCCATGGTTGCCTTGACCGATGATCTGTGTCTGAGCATCGACAGGGGTAATGTGACCCTGTTGGTGCTCCTAGACCTCTCAGCGGCTTTTGACATGATAGACCACAGCATCCTCTTGGACCGCCTGAGGGGGTTAGGTATCGGGGGCACTGCTTCGCAGTGGTTCCAGTCCTTCTTCTCGGGTAGGTCTCAGAGGGTGCTGCTCGGGGACAGTAGCTCCAGTAAGAGGGAGCTCACTTGTGGAGTCTGTCAGGGAGCTATTTTGTCCCCATTGTTATTTAATATCTATATGAAGCCACTGGGTGAGATTATACTGAGTTTTGGAGCTGGGTGTTATCAGTACGCTGATTACACCCAAATCTATTTCTCCGTCTCTTGTTCGTCGGCCTCAAATTCCGATGGCGTCTCTTCTCTCGTCTTTGGGTGGTAATGGGTTGGATGAGGAAAAACAGATTGAAACTGAATCCAGACAAGATGGAGGTGCTCACGGTAGCGGCCCCGAAACCAAGAATTGGGTTGCAACCTCCAGTCCTGGATGGGGTCACACTCTCCTCCAGTGACTGTGTTCGCAGTCTGGGAGTGCTCCTTGACTCGTCGCTCCTGATGACAAATCGGGTAAATGTGACGGTCAGGAGCGCCTGTTATCAGCTTCGCCTGATACGCCAGCTGCACCCTTTTCTGGAAGTAAGGGATCTGTGCACGTGCTGGTAACCTCACACCTTGATTTCTGTAACGCACTCTACATGGGG